TGTGCATGTGCATTTAGATTAAATTTACAAACAAGTGCTTTTATTTCTAATTTAAATATTCTTAATTCAAGTATGCATACATATATAATATGTAAGTAATAATTTTATATGCATACAATGCAGTATGTGTACGAGTGTTCATTTAATTTTTCTAATTATTGTAAATATTTATATATTTAGTGCTATCATATACGGGCTTGTATGAATAGAAAATAAAAATTTATTTTTTTGAATAAAAACATTTAGTCATCGTTTGTAAACGATAACAGTAGCGTGCCTATAACTACTTAAAATTCATTAGACTTAAGTATTGGGGTACTTATAAAAATTTTGAATGCTTTCGATTTACAAAAAAAAATTGGAGCAAAGCCATTTTTAACATTAGATTAGATCATCTGAAGTATTAAATTTAAGTGTCTGCTGACATATTAATAAAAATAAGTTGTACGATAATTATAATTAGAAAATTAGAGTCAAAACGTAGTTGAGACATTTTGTCTTAACAATACGAGTACCTACTAAGATTATGAAATAATTGATATGGGGAAATTTCATTTTTTTTTTGTAATTTAATTTAATGTTTTCTGTTTTCACATCAAAACAACTTGCATTTCAGTCTTCATAATATAATAAAGAGTCAGAATAGTCAATATTTTTATTCGTTTCAAGATTGGAGCGCCAGTGAAAAGTTTTAAGCGAGAACATTCATTCGGTAATCTTTAATGTTTAATTAATAAAAATTAGCGAATTCGCTAAAATTTTAAGCGAATTAGCTGTTAAAACTCTCGAATGGAAATTCCATGTGACTAGTTTGATGAGCGAAAATTAAAATAATTAAATATTTTTATGGTTATGATAATACTATTTTTCAATTGCTTGAGGTAGCAACGTTTTAGTTATAATATGAAATGTCATCGCATTCGTCTACCTCATTCGATTCGTCAAGTCATTCACTTCGCTGATCATAATAAGATTATTAATTTCAAATGAACAAATTGTGGATGTCAAATTGTGGATGTTTTAAATGAGTACCTCTGTCTTTTTCTTTGTTTTGTTGTTCACAAAACGATGGCAGTAATTTTCGTACCTATTGCATGCTTATTAATTAAAAATAGTTTTAGTAATTAAAAATGAGTATAAATATGGTTATTTTTCATTAATTTAATTGTTTTCTTTAAAAAACGAAATTCGTATTTGACACTAAACCTGTAATCAAACACACATACAATTCTTTTGATTAAATATCAATTATGCGAAAAAACAAAAATTCTATTGTAATATCAAATTTTTCATTCAAAAAAAAAAAGAAAAATAAGTGCTTGGGTCTGAAAAATAAATGGTTTGTTTATTTTTAGAAATAATGAATAGTATAAGAGTTTTAGATTCTATTCAATTAACAATTTTAATTTTTCTATTAAAAACACAAAACCTTAACATTATATACAAACATACATAAGTTCATTAGTGCTAAAGTTTTATTAAAAAATTACATTTTGCATTTATTAAATTTATTTTATAATTTTATCTGGATATATCCGGAAATTTTCACACTTTTCTGGATTGTAGTAACACCGCACACAATAATCTTATAAGTAAAGCAAAAAAAATATGTAAATTTGAAAGAAAAAAAAATTGATGCATTTATAAATTTGAATGTTTTATAATTTTTTTTTGCTGTTAGAATCCTACAAACACACCTGCATTCAATTCCAAATAAGTATACCAATACAAATGTAATCCAAAATAAAATTTTTGATTTGTTTGTTTAAATATTGTATGCATGTACCTATATGTTTATTTGAATGTTTCGAACTTTATTTTGTTTATTCAGACTAGCATAATGTAAATTATGAGAAATATTTAAATAAATTAAATTTTTAGGAATAATATTTTATTTTGTACTTTTCCATATACACAATATACGTATACAATGTTTGTACTTTAATATGTATTGAAATTGTTTGTTATTGTTAATAAAATTATTATTAATTTATTTATATGCAAATACTGTATCAATAAGAATAGCATTTGTACAGAGGTGTAAAGTATAAACCAAATAAGAATTGTAAATAATAAATTAATGTTTTCGATGTTAATCAGCGATTTAATGTAACAATTATCGGTGAAGGGGAATTAGACCATCTAACAATATTGTGAAGACGTTTCTTAAGCACAGGAACTGCTAGGCAATTATGGCTCGAAGTTTTTTTAAAAAAAGGATAATAATATAAGAACAGTGTAGAAAGTATCATAGATTTACTGACAAGGCACTGAAGTGTTATACTAGATTTAGTGGTAATATATACTATAATATAGATTTTCAAAAACAATTCTGTTATATTTTGTAATAGAATCGAAATTCCAGGTTTTAGAAATATTAGAAGACCAAAAACTATTTGGCAGAGAAGTGTTTTCAAAGAAATTGCGGAAGTAGGTAAAACATCGGTCCAAATTTAAGTACTAGCCCAAAATAGAGATAGATGGAGAGGCTTTGTGTATGCCCCATGCTCCTAACTGAAGTAATAAGGGGAAAAAAAACCTAGCAGAATATTTGATAGTAAACTGGACATCCTGTTTCGAGATATTGGCCATAACTCATGTGAATTCATGTGAATATTTTGAACTGTGTTCATGTACGTAGATAAATTTAATTGTTAAAATGGAAAACTCTTAGATCCAGGTTAATTATGTGAAAAAATTATTAAAATTTTGTTAACATTACAATAAGTTTTTCCATCTTTCACTTGCATTTTCGAGAAAACAGAAAAAAATTTAAAAACAAAAATTGCATATCAAAAGGCGTTTTTCGTTTTTCAATTGAAAACGCATGTCATTCACGGAATTATCCATTAAATAATATTAAACTTTAGACTTGTTGTCATGTAAACTATTTCATTAATTCATTTACTCTTCATAATTTACATACATAATTTTTTAATCGTTATTTTATTATATTAACTTTTTATTTTTGTTGTTGAAAATTTTGATTTTTTAAATTTTGTAGATCAGTTTATACAAGTTTTATCCGAATAAAAAGGTTACCAAAAGTATAAAAAAAATTGGAAAAAAAAAATATTCAAAAAAATATTATCACCGTTTATTTTGTCTGTATGTATTGATATAATGTATGCGAGTTGGTATATATTCTTAGTATGTTAACATATGATCATGTTTGTGTGTATTAAAACAGAATATTTTGAATAGATGGATGGACAAATACAAAAAATAATGAAGAAAAATAAAAATTTAGTTCACTTTTTTCTTTTGTTTTGTTTTATTTAAAAAAAGAAGGGGAAATTCAATTTATAATATGTAAATATCTATACATACACACTTATAAATATCGATATATTTAAATGTATACGTGTATGTATACTCTAATTAATTTAGAATAAGAGCTTATTTCATTCAATTTAATTTTTTAATAATATTAACAATAATATTAATTAAATATAATTTTTCAATTTATTCATATTGAAATTCTAATCAAAAATTTACCTTAAAACTCTCAGTTTAATAGCAAAATACAAAAAAAAAATAATAAAACAAGAAAAAAAAAAGTAAAAAATCTTAAATAAGGAAAACAGAAAAATTAAAACAACAAAACAAAAAAACAAGAGTAAATTTAAAGTTCACAGTTAAGTTGTTGTTTTTGTTGTAGTCTGCTATTATTTAGTATAGTGTTATTTAGTTAATAAAGTAGCTGTCTAGCTAAAACGTAGTGTATAGAGAGTACCAAGTATATTTTAGAGAAGAAGAGTAAATATTGTTATACTCGTAGAAGCTTAAAAATAAAATATAAAAAAAAACAAAATTTGCTCTTTTCTCTGTTGATTTTTATTATTGTATTTTTTGTGTTTTTTGTTTTTTTTTTTTTGCTTTACTTGACACATGTGTTATTTGAGACGATAATAATTTAAATTTAAGAAAAAATAAGAAAAAAAAATAAAATTTTAATACATTTAAATTTTTTTTCTTCTTTTTTTTTTGATTCTTTAAAATCATTTCATTTCAAGCAGTGCTTGCATCCGATCTAGTTGAGCACTAATAAAATATACACTCTTTGTGTTCTGTGTACACATATAAAGATCCTTTTTAATAAAATATATGAGAAGAGAATTTTGAAAAAATATTAAAATAATATTTGAAATTTAAAATAAATAAAATTTTGAATATATTTTCAAAAAAAAAAATAAAAAATTATAAAAATTAAAAGTGAAATTTATTTGGAATTGAAATTTTACGATCAACATCTTGTCACTTTGTATACACTTTACGTTCATATTATTAATATACAAAATTGGAAATGTAAACTGGAAAATTTCAAAAAAAATTTTTAAATTAAATATTTGTTTTTATATATTGGTATTAAATTTAAAAACAAAAAAATTATTTTTAATGTTCATTTATAATTGAAAGGAAATAAGTGCGAAATAATTTTAATTTTTAAAGAAGTAAATTAAATATATTTTAATATTATTAAAACAATATTGTATAAATAATGTAAATTTCTTTTTAAAAATAATATTTTTAAAAATTAATTAATAAAATTAATTAAAATTATTTAAAATTAAAAAAAAAAAAAACAAACAGTGTTATTTTTTTTGTACTTTTATTATCAAAAGCCTCTTAAAAAATTGTTTACTATCAGTTGATTTTATTATTATTATTGTTCTATACAACTATACGTGTATATATATATATATATATATATAAAATCAACTTTTGATATTTACTAGTTTTGGATGCTTTGATTTGAAATTCTTCTTCCCGTAAACAAACAAACACTATTAAATTAAAATTATATAGATAATTTATTAAAAATACGAGTACAGAATTAAATACATAAACACATTATGTACATATAACAATTAAATGTATATATATAAGAGATTACAATAATTAAAAAATAATATAAGAGAATATTAAAATATATATTTACTTATACATATACTTATATATATAAGAATAAGAAAAATAAAGAAAAGAAAATCAAGAATTAAAAAAAGAATAACATAAGAACATATTAAAGCGAAAAGAAGAAATTAATAAATACGAAAAAATAATAAAAAAAAAAATTAATTTAAATTAAATAATATTTAATAATATTAGTGACAATAAATAGAACGTTAATTTCTTAATTACAAGAAATACGTATCTGTACTACAATATATTAAAAAAAAAAAAATTAAAATAATTAATTAAAAATTTCAATATTGAATTAAATTCATAAATTGAATTACAAAATAATTAAAATTTTTTAAAAATTTCTTAAATTAAAAAAAATAATTTTCTCTTATATAATATATAATATAACACTTATTATATAATCATTATAAAAATGTTTGGTTATAAATTTGAAAAATTATTTATTTACACTGTGATATTAATATTTGGATTTAACATTTTAAAAGGTAAATATTTAATTTTTATTAATGTATATCTAATTATATACATACATATACATTTCATATATATTATATGATTTACGCATATTCTTATTAATATTTAATTAGCGTGGCAATATAAATTTTTTTGAAATGGAATTTTTTTTTTTTCATTCAGTGTATAACACTTTAAAAAATTTAGTTTTTACTCTTAAGAAGAAAAAAAAAACAAAATTAATTAATTAATTTGTTAATTTATTATTATAATTTATACTATTATACTATTTTAGTATATTGTTATCTTATGACATCGTATATAAATACGTCTTAATTACAGACATGTTAATTACCGGTAATTTTATGTAAATAAAATGATAAGTATAACTATTTTGCATAATTAATCGATTCTGTGGTAACTGGCAAGAATTGCCTTAATTATATTTAAGAGTTTTTTTTTTCTAGATATAAAATATTAAAGTCAAAAAAGATCAAGGTAAATATAGAGTATTTTTATAAAAGGGTTAATAAAATAGATATAAAATATTAAAGATCCGCTTGATATTATTGAGCTTAAAAATCGATATATGTATCAAGAATATCGCCTTAACAAATTATATACGATGTATTGCATTGGGTATATTTTTGAAAACTATTATGTATACATATGTATGTAAATTTAGAAATTTTTAATTTATTTTTTAAGTGTTACAAGACAAATTCATTCAAGTGTTCAAGGCAAATATGTCATTGCGAAGAGAAAATGTTCACAATGACAAGACTCTCTTTATAGTACAGATAATTATTAACAATTTATAGTTCGAATATTATTAGTATTCTTACAAAAAGATTATATATTAAATTTAAATTAAAAATATTTGCTATTCAAGAACAACAAGCTATTAACAATATCTGGTAATTGACAAACATTTTGGTTCAATATATTTTTATATTATGAAATGAACAGAAATATTTCCCATCCCTTAATACGAGTATTTATGCTTTATATTCGATCAAAATGTTATTAATGAATTCTTGTTAGTTTTAGGAAATTTTAAGACTGTTAAAATATTATTAATGGGTTCTTGTCCGTAATGGCGAACAATAGACGTACTTATCGTAAATTTATGTCTAGAGACGTATACGCTATATGTATGTAAGATGTGAATTTTACAAAAGACGGTGGATCTTATTTTTTTAAGAGAACTTTTACTTTAGAACTTTAAAAGAAACAGAAATACATTTTTTCGCACGGTTTTTGTGCAATAATTATTTAGTGAAAAAAAAAAATCTGGGTTTTTATGAAATAAAATAATATTTTGAAAAATTTTTAAGGTCATCATCCGTTGAGTACCCATCATAAATTAAATCAGTTTAATAATAATAAAAACATTTACTTTTATAAAAAAAATATCAAAATCACTTTTTTTCATTCCTAAAAATAATCTTTTTAAGAAAACCAGGTGTTATTTTAAGCCTGCAATTATATACGATTTTTTAGAGATAAGAAATATTTTTTGGAAATTTTAAATTCTATTTTTCAAATATGATTGATTGAAAAAAAAATTTGATGGGAAATTTGAAAATATTTTTAATTCGCCAATACATGTGAGATATTTTGGTCTCATTATTATTATTTGGTCACTCGTATTTGCAAATATACAGTGAAACTTTGATAAAATGAACCATTCATACAACGAAATTTACTGTAATATAGTTAGTTTACTATTTATATGGCTATTCTACGTATTGTAGGTACCACATACATAACACAATACATAATACAATAATATGAAAATTCTGTCTTTAAAAAAAAATTTGTTTACTTTGTATGATTAGAATTAAACAAGTGACATTTAATTACTCGTAATTGTTTTATTTAAAATGGCAACAATAATTGATGTTAACAACGAAAAAAAAATTTTTCTTGATTCTCCACACATTAATAATATTATAATTTTAAAGTTAAAAAGATAAATTTGGAACAAAAATGAGAAAAAAAAAATTATTTGAACAGTTGAAAAATAAAATTATGCAAATAGTTAAGAAATATTTATCATATACAGAGTGTCCCTTCGTTAATGTTTATATTATACTGGAATATAATCAAAGAATTTAATAAAATATTTTATAATTAACTAATTTAAAACCTTATTTCGAATGGGGCCCTTACAAACAAATGTTCGAAGGGTATTATAAATTCGCTAACAATATAAGAAGTTGGTATGGGTAACACAGAGTTGACGTAATCAACTCTATTTTTCTCGCTCTAATCTAAAAAATGCATATTATATTTAAAATGGAATAAGTGTGCAGATTGTAAATCAAATCTTGTATAAATTTTAAAAGCACAATTTTTTTTTGAATTTGCGATTGTAAAACTAAATAATTTTTTTTTTATTTTAAAAATATAATAAAATAAATGTTCTAATACCGTACGTTATAATTTATAATTTAATTAAAATTTTAATTTATAATATTTATATTTGCATTTCTTAATTTAAATTAAGAATTAAGTGTATGTATACCTAAATACATATGTATGTATTCAAAATAAATGTAAATATTTTTCAGAATATAAAAATTTTTCTTAATCTTTTGTGTTTTTATCGTTTTATGTTATATATGTATAAATAAAACTATCGCACATCCCATGATGGGGTTAGTTTAATATTAAATACATTTTGAAAAATAAATAAGCATTTGTTTATTTAATTAAATAAATCTTTTATTACTACAAAATTCATTATAATATAAATTTTTTTTTATATTTATAAAAATTAAATAAAATTTTTATTTAATATTTTAATAATGATTTAATTGAAAAGATTATGTAATAGCATCTGATGAACTTATTTAAATTGCATTTAATCAAATATAAACAGAAAATAAAATACTAGTTATGTCAATTTTGTTATTTGAATACTTGTCCAAAGTTAGTAGAGGGTTAATTTTGATCATATGTGAAGTGCATGATATACGAGTAGCCTTAATACTTAAGCATTTATTACAAATTTTAGGGATTTGAAATTTTTAAACAAAACTCAAAATTAAATTGGAATTTACAGTAATATTGATTTACTTTAAAAAATTTACCCGTTGTTCATAAAGGGTTAAAATTTTTGTATTAGATTTATTCTAAATAATGTGAAAACAAATTTGCAATCAATTAAAATTGAAAGAAAATTTTATTAAAATTTAAATAAAAATTTAGATAAAAATCAAAGTTGTATGGTTATTGATAGACTGTTCATAATTTGGACGAGAGAATTCTACCGTTCCTTTTGTATATTTTGTATATAGAAAAGCTTGACAATTTGTTTTGTATTGAAAAGTGTTAAAGTTTGTGTCATAATTTGCCAATATTTTGTTAATAGAGAAAAAGAGCAGAGAAGACTAAGGTTATAAGGAGGAAATAAAAATATTGGTACTTAATATGTGAACAGCCCATAAACAATACAATATAAAATTAAAGATTTATCAATTATAAGTAAAGTAAAATATCTTCAGCCCTCTTTTTTTTTTGTGTGTGTGTGAAAACAAAAATGAGTGTGTGTGCAAATGTACCATGTACACCGTTTACAATTATGAAAAAATTTTAAAATTTATTGTCATTTGTACAGCTACTAATTACTAATTTAATGCCGTATATCACAATAATTCAGCCATAAACATTTGGACACTATACATTTGGAAGATAGGAAAGGTTTAATGCACTAAAATTTGCAATCAACTTTTTTTATGCATTTGATAAATTAATTTATGAACCAATTTTGTTAAAATTTAAATATTGAATATTCAAATGACATATAAAATCAGTAGATCTAAAAATACACAAACAAGTTCCGACACCCCTAGCATTTCTCATACAAATTTGGAAATTATATTTGATTTATTCTCTGAGCTTAGTAGCCTGATAGTTTGTATGTCATTACTTAAACACTTTTTTCTTCTGTTATCAAATTTTATGTATAAAAAAAAAGTCACGCACTTTACATGTTCACGCAGACTTCAAATTCAAGTGTCATTAAAATTTTTTTTTTGATTTTATTTTTTTTTTTACTCACTAAACCTTGTGATTTATTTTTTAAGTGGAAGATTTGAAGATTATTGTTGTATATTTTTTTTTTTTATTTTTGATTGATTATTGTAAATTTAATTTTAGGTATGATTTATAAATTAACTTACATAATAATTATTCTAAAATGATTTATTAAAATAATTAAATTATAAAAAAAATTGAAATTTTTTTTAAAATCGCTTTAAAAGTAAACAAAATGGAAAATTGCTACAAATTATTGAATAAAATACAAAATTAAGTTTTTATTTTTTTATTTTTTTTTTTATTAATTTTGAATGTCACCTAAATAATTGTAACACTAATTTTATACTACCAATACTTTGATTAAAAATAAAATTTATTTTTAAAATTAAATTTTTTTTTTGCCTGTTTAGTTGTGGTAACTAAGTATTTACCTAAATTTTAAGTATATAAAGTATAACATGTGTGTATGTAGTAATTTCTGCATGAATATGTACATATTTATGCAGAATTAATGGCAATTATCCAATAAAATTGTCGGAGTATATATTGTTTATAATTAAATTAAGTCTAGTACTGTCTAATATTATATAAGGGAAAGTGCAATGGTCCATTTTTTTTATTAAAAGGTACCATTTTAATATTGCTACCTATAGAGTAAGTAAGGGAATTTTTAATAAATTTATGAGTAGCTCATTATTTTCAACAATTCAATAAAAAATTGTACTTCTAAAATTTTATGAGGGAAGGCAATCCTAACATAATTTCAAAGATTTTGAGTGCTACATATCTACTTTATTCAATTTTGTCTTCCGTTTTTAAGACAACATTTTTAAATTCTTGTACACATACTTAAAACACTGTAGGTTTTTTTCAATTTCACCAATAAAAATATCAGATTTGAGAAATAAAAATGATTTAAGACAAGGTAAGACAACATCTCTACCTCACAGATCAAAATGATATTTAATTGCAGAATTAGACTAAC